GATCTATAGTAAACATGATATACACAAGTGAACGATCTATAGTAAACATGATATACACAAGTGAACGATCTATAGTAAACATGATATACACAAGTGTGAAATGTACACAAGTGAATGATCTATAGTAAACATGATATACACAAGTGTGAAATGTACACAAGTGAACGATCTATAGTTAAACATGATATACACAAGTGAACGATCTATAGTAAATATGATACACAAGTGTGAAATGTACACAGGTGGAGAAGCTACAGTATCTAAGGTGTGTGAACAATAATGTCAGGGGGGATATTTACGGCAATATAGATATATATTAGTATCTAAAAACACCACTATATATGGAAAGCTATCCAAACATTTTTGCGTTGTTATTCAAGGACAGCTAAATTTCGCTACATCTACACATTGCCTTACGTAACAGTTACGTATAACGATTACTCCTAAACAGTAATAGAGAGATTCAAACGTAAACCATTAACTCTTAAGACCTTATCACAATAGTCCGTCATATAAACGAAGACAGTACAGTACAAACAATATTTACATATAAATAACGCCCACACCAAAACCACGTGTTGAGTTATCTTTATTCGTTAAAACAGTTCAAATGGTGATTTGTGTGGAAAAGTTTATTATGCCGCTATTTCTATTCCATTGTATGTTTGTTTGTTTGTAATTAAGCACAAAGCTACACAATGGGCTATCTGGGCTCTGCCCACCACGGGTATCGAAACCCGGATTCTAGCGTTGTAAGTCCGCAGACATGCCGCTGTGCCACTGGGGGCCCCCATTTTATGTAAAATGAACTTAGACATAAGCATGTCAAAATGTTGTACAGTCTATTTCCCGAAAATCCTTAGACAATTAGCAGTATTCCACTATATACAAATATTCGTAATTATATAAATTTTTTTAATCATCATTATCATAATGCAAATGAGAATAGATAATTATTAAAAATTTTTTTAAGAAACAAGTAAAATTAAATCTTACGTTATACATACCAACCTAACTTTAAATTGTATATATTTTTATTATTGGACCTTTTATCTTTTTATAACAAACAGATCTAATGCACGTGTTTTTTTTCACACACAAATACATACGGCTTACCTTTTTAGTGTGATGACTGCCGTAAGCACCCCTCTGACTTTGAATGCGAGTATCCTGAGCTGCATTTCTGGTCCATTGGTACGAAGGTTGCATGACTGTGTGCCAAATGTTAAACAAAAAGTTTACCTAAAGACGAATATCTACGTATAATTCAAATAGTGGCTACAGGTCACTATGGATATGATAAATATCACAGAACTACCATATTTCAAGGTCTGACGCTGTTTGAATCCTCTGTAAGAGTGTAGGTCTTTTAGTTCCAGCGGCCTGTATCCGTTATCAATATGTTTTTAATGTTCCGGACTCGTTTGTAAAATACAGGGTGCACAACCTGTCAATAACAATCGCGGAGAAATACTTTACACACGTTGCTGAGGGATACAAGCTGCCAATATGTGATGATAATTCAGAGTCACGTTGCTATGAGCCACATATAAGCACACTCTTTCAAGTAGGCTAGCATAATCTCAGTAACAAACAACGCAGTTACGCTGTAGTAGGCTACTTTCAGGGAACACGCTAAAGATGTTATTGTAACCACCACTCCAAAAGTTGCATGACTAACTTGAAGGTTTCGATTAATAAACGTACACTGAAAGCCAATTAAGTCTAAAATCACTTCCAGAGAATTTACTATTTTGATTTACGCAAAAAAAAAAAAAAACACTGAGAGAATTAGATGATTGGGTAAAAAGTGTGAGACCACCAGCAACAATACCACTAGACAGACAGAACGTCTCTACTTCCTGCCATCTACAGGATTTAATCATATTATTTCACGAACCATGGTAAATAAAAAATAAAAAACTCTAATTTTCATATCAGTTACTTATGTTAAGATTGTAATAAATCGACACTACTTCTTCCAGCAATAATTGTCTTTGACATTTAACCTTTAATGCTAGTAAAAGAGGTGCTACCATCTAGGGAATATATACATAACTATTTGAAATATTTTAAGGGAACTCTAAAGAGTTGTTGGTCGTAGCGTACTTTTCCAACTAAGGGTTTGTGCAAATAATGTGGGGTTTTGCTATGATGTGAAAATATATAAAAAAAAACATCCTTGGGGTATTATAACGTTACGAGATCAATCTCACTATTTGTTAGTAAAAGAGTGGCAAAAGAGTTCGCGGTGGGTATTGTTGACTAGTTGCCTTCCCTCTAGTCTATTACTTTGTTACGACAGTGGAAATCACGTGACTCTAGTAACACGTCATGATATTCTTGAAGGTTCTTGAATGCTCGAGTGTTTACTAGATGTGTGGTATTCTTGTATATAAGACCGCCAAGAAGTGACGGCAAAAATGGAATTGAATTGCAGACAGAGATAGAGACGGACAATTGAGTCAAGCGCGTGAATCGTTCGTTGTGAATTATAGCGTTTGTTTAAGTTATAGCGTGACTGTGGAAATTAAGTGTATTGCAAAGTTGTATTGAGAAAGAATAAACTAATTTTATTTAAGAAAGGACTTGTATCGCTAAAGTTTCTTCGGAAAGAATTTTTACGGAAAATTAACAAACGAACACAGAGAAGTAACAACTTCAAAATTAGGGAAGGCTAGTGCACATAGCCCTCGAGTAGCTTTGCGCAAACTTGAACAGTTATTTTTAATTTTCTGATATCGATATTTTGTTATTAGTAGGCTGATATAAATTTTATCAAAAAATTACTTTGAAAGGTTCTTCCCATGTTGGGAAATCATGCAAACAGTTGTGGTGAATTTACATGTTCTATACTAAATACAGCGAGAGTGCAAGCTCAATGTCATGAAGAACTGATCATTCAGTACAATTAACAATAGAATGTTCAATATCGTGTCTTAATAGAGTCATTGCACAAACATACTTTCAACTCAAGCCCTCTATTAAAAATACAATGAACTTCTGCGGCGTATTACCTTTTATTATTAAAAATAATAGGACATTATGTAATATGAGCTAAGCCTTTTCTAAAATTGTAAATCATGAGGAACCGTTAAAAACTTTTTTTTTATTAGCAAAAACATTATTAAAATGCGGTTTAGAACTTTATAATTGAGTCATCAATAGTTTTGAAAATAAGCACTATCAATTTAAATATAACTTATAGCTAGCTACTTGTGAGGGTTTGTTTGAAGTTAAGCACAAAGCTACACAGTGTGATCTGCCCATCGAGGGTGTCCAAATCCGATTTTATAGCATTATAAGCCCTTAGAGTTATGCCAGCGGGGGCATCATGATACGAGATTTTGATACAAATGATAAAAACCATATAACCCGAGCGATTTCGAAAGGTGGACCTTTCTTCTTCAGGGGCAAACTGGGTATGAGATTTGTTATCCAATATGATCAAATCTGTGTCAGTCATGATGAATTAATTACCACAGAGGTTCACCAAAACAAATCAAGTAGGTTTCGAAAAACCCAGAAACAATCTTTCTTATCCTAAAGAAGACTAATGAACTATTCAAAAGCATTAACTTTCTGAATCTTTTGAAATCCAACCAAATATATTTCATATTTTAAATAATATTGTCATTGAATGACTTTTTTTGCCATATTCTCCAACATTTTTTAAAAACATGACGCAGCCATTTTCTTTTTATAATATTAAATATTTCTGTACAAAAACCTTGGCACTGTCATACGCCCTTCTGCATATTCTAAAACTGGAAAAAATATTTACGCGGGAAATTGTATATTGCGAGAGAAGTATATGTATTATTGTAAAAACGTGCAATATTGGTTTCTTTTTATTTCTTCTAATAAAAATACTATATATAAAAGTATATTTTCCCGCCATTCTTCTATTTCAAAATTTCAAGTGGCACCACCTAACGCGTTTTTGGGAAGCAACGAAACAAAAGCGGCATAGCATTCGCCGGAATAATAGGATGGCAGATCATCAGGTAGTGTTTTTGGTACATCTCTCTGTTTTTAATTAAAAAGTTTTCCCATTTTCCAAAGTTCAGTTCGTTTTTATTTTTTTCAGAATCAGAAACCGGAAGGAGGTGACGCAGGATCAGAGTACATTAAACTTAAAGTTGTTGGTCAGGTGAGTTAAGCCTAATTAACATAGCAGTAATAATAGTAGTACTAATAGTAGTCTTAGCGTATAAATGAATATAGTTAGCCGTGTGACACTGACAGTCACTAGTAGTAGTAAATCACATTGCTTCGCTATTCAGAATTGAGTATTCCAATTATCGTGCTGACAGTGACACACAAGAATTTCAAACAATATTCATAATGACCTAAAGACGTAATATAAATATAATAATATTTAAGTTGAAACATTTTTAATTAGACAAACAATTGGTTGAACTTGACGAATGGAAAGAACTTCAAGTTCAATATTAATTTTATTATGCATATTTATTAATACTTATTCCAGTAATGATACAAGGAATATAAATGGCCATAACTACTCCAAACACTGGGCTCTCATTAAGAATAAATATAATAATAATTAGTATTTTCTTTGAAAAATATAAATACATGATCATAATAGCACTTGGACATTTTGATCATAAACCTGGAATGGAAATTTAACAGAAGATAAACATAAGCTGATAGTTAATGCACTTATCATTGCTCAAATTAAAAATAGTTGATACATAAGTACCAGTTTTTGGTACCAACAACTGGCTGTTGAAATTCGTTTTCTGATCTATGTAAATTTTTCCAGGTGTACTAAAATGTGTCATCTCTTGTTCTGTCAGTTTATCAGTGATGGACTGTGCTAACATGTCAACCAGTGTATACCCTTTGGGCCTCTTTGTGAAGTAAACAGTAACCACAAACCTATTGATTACCTAGCTCACTACCTACAAAAAGAAAAACACAGGAACTGCAAACAGTCTCATGACAAATTTTGATTTCTCAAGCTCCAAACATGAACTTAAGTATGTTAATTAGTTATCAAGCAGGAGGTTTAGACAAAGGGTATGACTCTGTCAGCTGTTGTCTGATTTACTTACAAGAATATGCTATATCATTCCTGTAAGAGAACCAGAATATATACAACTTACATGAAAAACTCTGTTTTTCTTGAACAGTAAGATAAAGTTAACAACTTGCTTGGGTGCTCCAATGTGTCCAAATGGAAAACTATGAAAAAAAAAATATATTTTTTAAAAATTTCTTATTTTTCACTACTGGGGTGAAAAACATAATCTTTTGGAAAAATCGAATGCTTCCGTACTTCTGAGATACTTTTTTATGCTAGTTATTTTGTTTTACAGTTCACATAATCTTGTAGATATTCAATAAAAAAAGTTAGTCATCTATAATTAAATTAGAAATGTCTTGGATATTGTGTAGATATGTAGTTGCAAATAAAAGTGCTTAGAAAAAAATTATTTTATGAGTTGCTATTTTGCAGAGTCATTGACATATAGTCCTGAGTACAGTTCCTGAAAAGCCAGTTTACACTTGTATCTAAAAGTTAAGGAACACACTGTTTTAGGATTAACAATTTGTTCCCTAACCATTGGACAGCAGAGTGTGTTCCTAATTATTCCAGATTAGATGTGTATCTTTCTCTTATTCTATGGACAGCAGTGTGTGTTCCTAATTATTCCAGATTAGATGTGTATCTTTCTGTTATTGTATGGACAGCAGTGTGTGTTTGGCTAATTATTCCAGATTAGATGTGTATCTTTCTGTTATTGTATGGACA